ATTGCAAAAACTGTTCAATTGGCAAGTTAGCATTAGCATCTTCACAAACACCAGCCTTAAAATGCCCTCGAAATCAGTCTTGATGTATTTTATTGTTAGAATGTGTTGTGTATGGTGAGAAATATATTAATTGCACATTTAATTACAACAAACCAGCTTTGAATGCCCACAAAATTGTTGGATTGATAAGTTAGCATTAGCATCTTCACAAACATCAGCCTTCAAATGCCCTTGAATTCAGCCTGAGTGTATTTCATGATCAAAAACTGAACATATGCTGTCAAATAAATTAATTACATTTCTCCTAAACACATTAAACAAACCCATTTTCAATATCCCAAACAATGTTCATAGGATAAGTTTTCAAAAAACCCCAGCCTTAAATTACCCTTGAAATAAGTCTGAATGTATTTTACAGTCAGAAACTGTGTGTATTGTGATAAAATAATTAATTATACTTCTCCTTGACACATGCAACTACAACAAACCAGTTTTGAAGGCCCAAAACAATGATCAATAGTCTAGTTAGCATTAGCATCTTCATAAAGCCCAGCCTTTAAAGGCCCTTGAAATCACTCTGAATGTATTTTATGATCAAAAACTGTGCAAATGGTGATATAAAAATATTACTTAGACTTCTCCAAATCACAATAAAATACAATAAACCAGCTTTGAATGCCCAAATCAAATTCCAATTTACACGTTAGCATTAGCATTAAAAAAAATGTCAGCCTTAAAATCCCATGGAACGTGTCTGAACATTTTTATGGTCAGAGACTGAGCGTATGGTGATAAAATATATTATTTACATTTCTCGAAAACACAAACCGGGCTTGCAATGCCCAAAAGAATGTTCAGTTAACAAGTTAGCATTAGCAAAAAAAAAAACAAATGGAAATAAAAACACTGAATTGGCAAGTAAATGTTCACAAAACTCTTCACAAAACATAAGTCTTTAATGTAGTGTTTACCAGTTACAATGTTAAGAATTAATAAGCCATTAATAAGATAAAAACTTTAGTACTTCATGTTTCAATGCCGGAAATCTAAATACATGTAATATTCGTCTGAAAAACCAATGTGAAAAGATCACCTGCCTTGCTGTATATCGGTTCTCTTCAAACCGACGATTATTTAAGACAATTGTGTAAAGTAAACTCGCCTCAGTTCCAGCCCATTTGCCCTAAGTATTTCAGATATGGTCAGGAATTCAAGATCATGTCTTGACAAGTTCTTCATTTTGAATCCAAACCTAAAAGCAATGAGAACCAGTCTGAAAAATACAACTCTACATGTGAGTGTGTATTACTGGCAATGAAATCAGACCAACACCCAGACGAGCCGATGAGTTCATAACTACTGTACATACAGAGCCAGAGGCATGAAACGCTTGTTGTTTTTGCTCATATTTTTCATTCTTTCCTGGTTTACTAAGGCAGGAGATGTTTAGTACCGAAAGCCAAATCCTACTGCTTTTGGAGAACACAAATATTTTTGTAGCCCTCTATTCAGAGGGTTTGTCAGGTTCAAACTGACTTGTGGACGTCAGGTCAAGTTGTCCCATGCCGGATCTGGTTACAGCTCTTAAACATCATAGTGAGCATGCTCAAAGGGCCGTTATTATTTCCCTGGGTTATCTGTTGTGTTTGCCTCAGTTCAGTAGATCTCTTTGATCTTCCCCTGTGCAGCCGTGCAGCTCACAAGAGAAACAGATGCTGATATTCACAAATAATGATAGTTTCTTTTTATAATACCACCTCAAGTTTATTTTTAATCTATTTCAAGTATACACACCACTTTCACACTTTCAGAGAGTAACTCTATTCATTTCGGTCCAAGAAATGAGCGATCAAATTAGCATTAGCATTAGCATCACCCATTAATGGTCATAAACCACTTTTAATTAGCTTTTAACCAAGGTACTAGGAATCTATAGTTTTTTTTTATTTAAAGTTTTAATTGGCATCTTGGTTTCAGTAAGGTGTTGTCATTTTATTCAGGATGAACCAACTGAAGACAAAATGGTAGCCGTGGTACAAGATGAGAAACAATGGCAAACTTGGTTTCTTCTAGTGCTGGGTGAAAAAACGATTTTATAATAAACTCGAATCTCTGGTGTACACCGATGTGCTTGACTGAAAATTTATTTTATCTTGAACATAACATGATAACACTGCCCCCTGAGTTTCTGTAGAATGCACACTCACCGTTCAGTGGCAGTTTTAACTGAGCAACTCAACAGCTTGCTCTTGAATTATTGCTGGGCTTGATTAAACGTTGACACAAGCCCTAAACTTAGCAGAAATTAATAAATAGACTGTTTGTTAAGAATTGAGCAAAGGTACTAACATTACACTTGGTTTGGTTTACCCTGGGAGTCATCTTTAGAAGGAGAGGTGTGTTTAGCATGAGGTGTGTTTTTTTGTTGATAAACAAGCGAGGGCAAAGAGTTTGTCAGCTCTTTGATAATTGGAACTACTTTTTTTATACACGAATGTGGACTATAATAAAATGTAAATAAATAAAAAAGTACATTTTCAGATTTCGTTTTTTATTGATACATCAGATCAAACTTGTTTCTTATTTACAAAATACTAAATGTAGTATATCTATAAAGTATAGATATTACACACTTATATTATAACAACTTAATTGTTGCAAAATTTGAACAAATAGTTGTTAAAAGGGTTCACAGCACACAAATAAATATATCCAGTTCACAAATCCCACACACAAGAACCTCAAACATAACAACCCCTGCTGAGTTTCAACAGGAAAAGGTGTGTGTTGTGCCTATTGGTTGCTATCATAACTCCCTTATTTTCAAATGTAGTTATCCATTGTGTCTGAACATGAATTGTAATCATGTTAGAAGGTGTGGGAGTGAAATTAGCGTAATCTTGAAGCCATGAGTTTCAACACACTCGGATGTCAAGTGTTTGCTTAGGGTGGTTGTTAGATGTTATTAGCTAGGTTAATTATGAAGAACTTTGTGATGCAAATTCACTTAAGGGTAAAATGCTAATATATATATATATATATATATATTAGCACAACAAAATCCTCACGTTATAAAGAATTCATGGCTTTTGTCATGTGATAAATCATTGCTTCAGTAGACTCGTGAATAATGATGAAAGCAACTTTTCTCTTTGTCACCACTAACCTGTTTGGCAACATCACGTAGTCTCACATGTCAGTTTCAGAATTTGTTCTTAGCATTTGTTGTGATATAATATTAAGAGATCCATTTCGGACATTTTACCAAACAATACCTATAAACTGTTCATTAGAAGATGATATCAAAAGTAATGCTTGAGTTTAGAACTGCCAAGTACGAAGCAGTCTAAAGATTTGTCCAATGTCCAGTTTCTTGTAACAATGTGTCTGTTTACTGGTATAACATGTTATACCAGAAGTAGTGATCGATTTTTAAAAAGGAAGGAATAATAACTACATTTACTCCTATAATACAAGTGATGCTTGAAGTAAGTTCTACATGATTATGCAAATTTTGGCCAATCAAGAGAGCAGAGCATGAGAGCACTTACAAAGACCAGGTAACCGGCCTGAGAAATCATTGCCATTTTTTTGTATTGTTGGTATTTGAATAAAAACGTTTTTTAAATGCCAGTTTATGACCCTTTAATACTTTGTTTACTATTGTTACAAGAGAAATTTGTTCAGAATTGTATCAGAAAACCTTTACATTTGAAGTTAAGTACTGTTTTGGTTCACTACAATAGTAAAAGGTTGTATAAATACAAACAAACATATCTTTTGGATTAATAACCTCTGGATTAATAATGGTGTCCATGAACTTCACATGAATTTCACACCTAGTGGCGTGATAAAGCCATTCAACACTTGGCCAAAACAATTAAACAAAGTCTTTGGCTGCCAAGTCTTGTTGTTGTGTTATCAATGAAATTGGCTCTTTTGTTAAATTGTCAAGGACTGTGGGGCAAAAAACACAACCGTTTGCACACTCATCATGACCTCAAAACAACAATTTGACGAACTTCCCATCAACCAATGTCAGAGAGCGATTGCATTCGCATTAAAACCAGTGCAATTCGGTTCAACTTCAATGCAGCAGATAAAAACCCCAAAGGTCGCAACAGCTCCAGCTGAAAACCTCTTCCAGCTGTCCACCCACCCAGTCTCACACTCACATGATCATGTAAATTAGTGTATTGTTACTTGTAGAGGTAACAAATAACCAATACATGGAAACCGAAAGAACCAGAGAAGATCAGCTAGACAAAGAAGATGGCAAACAAAGAGGACTACAGTAAGGATTGTATGCATGGTGATTGGATCTTTCTGAACCAGGATTTCAAAGAACCTTAAACAGCTTCTCACTGTCTAGGATGTTTAGAGGATCATCCACTCTTACCCTTAGATAGGGCCTGGAGTAATTAGTGCAGTTGGACCTCATTGCATTATTTCACAAGTCCCTGATGAGTGAGAAATTCTTAACCTCAATTGAACATTTCACAAAAACCTCATAATGAAAATGGAAATGTGTCTGAGCCTCAACCGAACTGAGCTTGAATTCTCAGTTAATCGTATCCTTCCCGTTTACTAATACATAAATAACAACACCCATGATAACGTGCCTAAAAGCATGATGTCACTGGGTCAGTCCAGCTGTTTATTTCACATTCCAGTCACAAAATTCAGGGTCTAAATAGTGTTCAGGAGAGTTTTCAAAGACGTCATTTATCTATTTTGTTTTGTGAAACAAAACAAAAAAGTGCTTTTTAAAACTGCTAGCTTTTTAGAGTTTAAAAGTGTTGTTTTATGTAATACAACTGCTGAGGAGTATTTTAGTTTTCTTCAATTGGTTTCATACGTTTTTTGGGTACAGTAAGTTTGGACTTCTGTTGTTTATGTAGTTACTTTAAGACGTACCACATTTTACATTTATGCATTTGGCAGACGCTTTTATCCAAAGCGACTTACATTTGAATGAACATATTTTTTCTGTCAGTTCTTGCTTTCCCTGGGATATGAACCCACAACCTTTGGCGTTGTTAGTGCAATGCTCTACCAACTGAGCCACAGGAAAGTTCACCACATCTGTGATGACCACTTGCTCACCACCTTCACTATGACAAGCTCTTTGCAAAATGCAACATCAACTAAAAAACAGATAGCTGCTTCTAAAAAGGGGTTCCTAGAACAAAGGGCGAACAAATTGAAACATTTCTCAGATTGGTGTCAACGTGATTGGTACTTATTTATCATCAGCAGAACATTAAAGAAAAAGATATTGTGTCAAACCATTGCTTGCTTCAAACATGTTGATACCTGCTGTTGACTTGTGATGGATACTGGTCTCGTGTAAAGGCCCCACTTTCTTCAGAAATCGAGATCAGACAATAAGAACCCTGCATGCTACTCCACCATTCATCTCTTATTGGAAAATTTCCACCTGACCAACTCTTTCACCTTGGTCAATCAGACCAGTGAATGATGCATGCCCAAGAATCAGGCAACACAATTATTTTTGATTCAAAGTGCAGTCATTTTCTGTAGAACACCAATGATATTTTAACTATAACATTTCTGATAGTAGTGCCTCAATAATTAGAACAAAGAAAGAAAAAAGTAGTCCCTTGAAGTAGTCAATGAAGTAGAATTGGGTGGATTTTGTCAGGATGTTTGTCCCCAAATGGGGTATCACAATAGCACGTTTACTCCCATCCTGTAGCGCAAAGGGCAAGGGACCCTGAAAAGTAACGAAGCTGGAAAAAAGGAAATGAATCAATGTCCCCAAAATGTGTGCCCTGTTGATAGGTGGCTAAAATAGGTGGCTAAAATCCCGAAGAAGAGTTCAGGTAAATGTGAGGAGGTTCGACCATGTAGTGGACTGGTAATCTATCCAAGATGTGTACCCCTACCTTTAACCTACTACGTCTTAGACTAGGGTCCACAATATCCCAATTACCCAAGCACAAATCTATAGTGGGTGAAAGAATAAGAAGATAATAAGAAGATAACTGTTCAAGCAATAAAATAAAATCAATTCAAAGATTTACTTGTAGTTACCTATAATTTAGTTGTTAGAACTGACTTTACCTTTCTGCAGGTGTATGATGTCTGGAAAGTTGGAGAGCAGTCCCTGGTAAAGTGAGAGTTTATCCAGCATGTGAAACAGGTCGTATTTGGGCTGCTCAGCAAACATTTCACCTATATTCTCGTAGGTTCGCCCAGTATGTGAGATGGCATTGCTTAGGGCTTCGGAACTGTATGGAGGGTCCAACAAGAATGACTGGCTAATAGACTGAAAAGCATTTCCAAGTCGCTGAAACTCCTTTCGAAAACCTCCGAGGTGTTTGCGGACCAGTTCAGATGCAACATGAGTCAGCTGCAGCACACTGTCATCCATCTTTTTGGCGAATGATTTAAAGGAGTCAATGCGTTCTTCCACATCCTGAAGATCTTGATGCTCACTTGGAATTTGGAAAGTTAGCATGAAATGCGCCCCAACCATCTCATCCTTTTCTGCTCTCCTCTTGCCAAGCTTCCACTGCTTGTCATCGGCACACATGAGAAAGTGTTCAAAACCCTCATACTGAGACAGCACGGGGTGGCTGGTCATATGGTCCATCCATAAAATAAGCCTCCTCTTTCTTTTCTCAATGAAGTCTTCCTCAAACCGCCCTGTTGCTTGCTTTTCAGGGAGGTGTGGAATGGAAATCACTGTAAATTTGTGTAGTAGTCTGTTGTAGAGCCAGTCAAAGTGCTTATAGCGGCGGTACACCGGCCTCCCAGTGTGGCTAGGGGTCACCCGGTATGAAATATAAGTCTTGATGCCTTTGAATTTCGTTTGTTTGGTGGGGTCCTCAACGGAACAGTTGAAGGGGCGTGGGTTTTCCATCCACTGGGGACCTCGAGATCCCATTTCAATTGAGTAGGACTCCGCTATTTTAGCCATCATGGGAACATCTCCAAGAACGAAGGCCTCAACACCCGAACGAACAAAGCTAGAGAATCGATTCAAGTTCCTTCCAACCATACTGCCTTTCCTGTTACCAGAGATGCTGTCCTGGCGCTCCATGTACGGTTTGGCCCGATAGTGGACATTTGGGTTTGAGTAAGAATGTTGTGAATGTCCATTGGCGCCAACTCCTCTGCGGGGATCTTCATCATCAACAACGGTTGACGTTTCATCCCAGTCATCCCAATCATCATCGTCATCACTTGGCAAGGTGGTGGAAGGAGGATGAATGTAAGACAAATCCTTCCCAGGTGAACTTCCAGGTGAACTGAAGGACTGATCTGTCAGGTTGGACCCAGATCGGCGCCGAATGATTTGAACGTATGAGGCTGGAAACAGGCCTCTCTCTCCTCTGCTATTTTCCCCCTGTAGCCAACCATCCACTGAGTTCTCATCGAAAATAACCAGCTCTTCATTTTCCTGGATGTTGATCTCCTCCTTGTTCTCACTTTGGAAAGTGTATAAAGCTTTGGCTCTCAGGGACATTTTAGGACTTTTCCCAAAGCAAAAATGTACACACAAATGAGATTATTTACCTCATATTTGATTATAAATGACTTTAAAAAAAATGTAAAGTAAATCGAAGCTGCATTACAGCAATGATGTAGTCAATACAAGTCTAACCAAATCTTCAACTTTGGTTATAGTGTAAAAACTGAATATTTTAAAAATAAAGATCTTTTTAGATGGCAACATTTATACAAAAGTTACTGATTATACTTTTTATAGTGTTACTCTCCAATATCCCTTGGTTTGTGCCTTTTCATTATTCCTTTGAATCGTCATAACCATCAAAATAAACCCATAAATCTCCAAATCCCTTCAAGCAGATGTAAGACACCGGCAAAAAAAAAAACTTTCAGTCCTGGCTCTTCTAATATCAAACTTGCATCCCTCGCGCATGCATCAAAACATCAAGCACAAGCAGCTGTTTGGTGATCCGTGTGACCGAAACTCCAGATGAAAACATTATTCTCCGAGGCGGAAGATGAACGCATCCTTTGCATTCTTCCAACAAAAGAACTAAAAAGTTGAACTCAGTAGTCGTTATAATCCACAGATCCGCTTCAACTCGCAGGTATTTCGTAATATATTCACATTATTTTCCTCGAGGTGTGATTGAAGAGCCGGAGTGAAGTTTTAGACAAGTATTTCTTAACTTTGAGCAGAAACGCAGTAACTCTTTCCATGACGTGACGACGGAACAATGAGCGCGGAGCTGCTCGGTTTCACTTCCAAACAATCGCGATTGTGGCGCCGCTCGGCGGTGAAGAAAACAACCGGAGCGTCCCACCGGGGGATTTAAAGGGACAGTAATAAATTTCAAGAACCTTTCTATTCCAGTTTTTAAAAATGAAATCTCATGAGTAGGGAAAAAATATTTTTTTTTGTTGTTTTTACCCTTATTTATACATAAATAAATAAATAAAATGTTTACATAAAAAGAGTATTATTTATATATTAAAATTATATATAAAAATATTGACATTTACACACACACACACACACACACACACACA